ATGGGTGGTGATGTCGTTTTTGCTGAAGGAGCTCCTCCTGAGGTCTTGTCAGCCTCAGGTGCAAGCGTTTTTGGACCAAGAGGGACCAGAATCCTTGTGGGTAGGGATGTGTTCACTATTTAGTGCCCAGATACTTTGATTCAGATAAAATCCTAAAAGAGAGCGAGTGAGAAAGAGAAATCAAGCCGGTTACGGAGTCCCTTTGCCTTCCCCTGTCTTCCCACAATATGGCTCTACCCGGGCACTGGCACCTGGGGGCCAGACCTGGGGCTGGGCTGCAGGGGGTGTGGACATGGAGGCTGGCCATGTCCAGGAGGTGGTATCCAGGGTCCACGTGTGCGGGCCTGGCTGGGATGTTCTGTGTGGGGCGTGCCCTCCCGTGTCCCCACCCCCTCCAAGACTCGCCAAGACACAGCAGGAGACTGAGCCCGGAGGGCATGGTCCTGCCTCCATCAGGCCCTCCTGGTCCAGCGCGGACAGAGGAAGGGGCAGGGCATGGCCAGTGGAGGCTGCACAGGACGGGGACGAACTGCAGCCCAGGAGCGGTGCCCTTCTCCACGCCCTGCCTTACACCGCCTGGGCAGAGACGTCAGCCTGCTCAGGCCTTCCCTTTTGCAACCCCTGAGCCAGACAGAAATGTGGGAGATAAGCAGACTGATCAGATAGATGTCACTTAAGTTTGTCTGCGGTTTCTGAGGTGACAGGAAGAAAAAAGTAAAGGCTTAAACATAGAATGACTCAAAGCTTGTCGAGTCCTATGAAGTGAAAGGGAGGGAGACCTGCAGATTCAAACGAGGAAATGAGAACCAGGCAGATGTAACCTGCAGCTGGGCACACCTCCACATGGCCAGCCTCCCCGCCCGCACTCCCAGAGTCCAGCCCCAGGGCCGGCCCCCGGCCGCCAGTGCCTGGGCAGAGCCATATGCTGAGAGAACAAGGGAAGATAAAACTTGGGTGACAAGATCAATGCATACAAGACGGAGTCCCTGACGTTATAGGAAGAGTGAAGAAATCCCATAAATTCATGCAACCTGAGTCTGGGGTCCTCTTCTAAAAGCTGTGACCTGCTACACACTTCAAGTGACAACCTCATTAGTGGCTGTCCCCCAACCATGGAAGAGTTTATATAGGAACCTATGGATTATGTTCAAAAATATGTTTTTTTGGGAAATAATTAGGACAGCTTACATTTGTTACTCTGTACACATGTTTCTAATTTTTAATTATTTTTTTATTGAAGTGTAGTCTGTTTACAATGTTGCACCAGAAATTGACACATTGTAATTGTTTTTTTAATAATCAGGTTGACTCTAAAAATTTTTTTTAATGGAGGTTCTTGGGACTGAACCCAGGACCTCGTGCATGCTAAGCACGCGCTCTACCACGGAGCTATTACCCTGTCCCCACCACATGTTTCTAATTTTTAAGAAAACAAGTTCTACTAGAGGTTAACTGTTAACAGAGCTTTATACTTAAAATACATAAGGGAGTCATTTGGTTTAGACTTATGTTTAAGAGTAAAAGCGGACCCAAAAGAATTGAAAGCAGGGGCTCAAACAGACACTTGCACCATGTTCCCAGCAACCGTATTCACAACAGCCAAAAGGTGGAAGCAACCCAAGTGTCCGTCCACAGGTGAATGGATAAGCTAATTGTGGCATATACATGCAATGGAATAGCACTCAGCCTTAAAAAGGAGTGAAATTTTGGCACATTCTACAACATGGATGAACCTTGAAGATACTACGCTAAGTGAAAGAAACCAGACACTGAAAATAACATATTGTATGATTCCATTTATATGAAATATTTCAAACAGCCAAGTTCAGACAGAAGATTAGGAATGACCATGGGCTGTGGGGAGGAGACTGGGAGGGGGTGGCTCATGCTTAATGGTTACCAATGGTTCTGCCTGGGGGCGATGAAAAGTCTTGTAAAGAGATAGAAGTGATGGTTGCACAACACTGTGAGTGTACTTGAAGCCGCATTTAAAAATGGACAAAATGGACAATTTTATGTTATATATATATTAGTCCAATTAAAAAAGGAACCAAAGTGTAGAGAAGTTTTCTAAATTTGTCATTGTTGGAAAACAGAGGGGAGCCTGAGAGTCAGTGTGATTACACACTGGTCCTAAGCACCTAAGTTTGCTCGCCAGATGCACGTGGGTGGCCTCAGTGAGAGCCCTGAGCCTGCTCCATTTTCTAAATGCATTTGAAAATATTTAAGACACTTTAATTCAGTTCCCAACGGGCACTGATTATGACAGGGAGGCATTTTTGTCTGGACTTGCGCTACTTGGTAAGTTCATTGAAGGGAGATGTTATTTCTCTGTCTAGCTTTGTAATTAAACTTCTTAAAGTGCTCACAATTGACACATAAATCAACATTACAAACAGCGCCTTCCAAAAACTACATCGTCACTAAAAGTCCCAAAGTTCGGGAGAATGATAAATCACAGGTTGAACAAACTCAGTTTAAGAAAATGTGCTGGGAATGGAAGACTGCCGTAGTTGAGGGGGCGGGCTGCCGGCTCGCTCTCTTTACAATGTGTGCAACGGAATTAAGATTTTGCAACAATAAAAAAAGGCTTTATAACAAGTGTGGCGTTCATGCTTCTTAAAACCATCTTCTATAGTATAGTATGATACAGGAAAAAGACCCTTTAGCAAGAGAAATACGGAACGAGTCACAAATCCACTTGATGGGAAACTAAACCAAAACGCTCCAGGAAAGACAATTACGTCAAATACCCCAGGACCGAGCAACGTCGCCGCCCCTGCTGTCGACTCCTCGGCGGAGTCTTACTTTCTACTTGTTCTGATCTAATATCAAACAAAAATCTTTACTGAGATGGTATTGACATATAATACTGTAAGTTAAGGTGTATAATTGATACACAAATATATCGTAAATGATTCCCACAATAAGGTTACTTAACATATCCATCACCTTGCGTAAGTTCCTTTTTTTTCCGTCGTGGTGAGAACACTTAAGATCTGCTCTCTTGGGGAGAGGGTGTAGCTCAGGGGTAGAGGGCATGCTTAGCATGCACGAGGTCCTGGGTTCAATCCCCAGTCCCTCCACTAAAATAGTAAACTAACTAATATATATAAAATAGATAAACAACAAGTTTATACTGTATAGCACAGGGAACCATATTCAATATCTTGTAGTAACTTATGGTGAAAAAGAATATGAAAACAAATATATGTATGTTTCTATATGACTGAAGCATTGTCCTGTACCCCAGAAATGGACACATTGTAAATTGGCTGTACTTCAATAAAAATATATTAAAAAATAAATAAACCTAATTACCTCCCCCTGCCAAAAATACCAATATAACGGGATAATAAATAAAAATATTTTAAAAGAGAAACCAAAAAATGATCTACTCTCTTAGCAATTTTCAAGTATTGTTAACTATACACATTATGTTGGTGACTGTAGTCAACAATTAGGACCCCAAAACATACTCATCTTATAGCTGGAAGTTTGTGCCCTTTACCCATGTCTCCCCATTTCCCCCACCCCCAGCCCCTGGTAACCACTCATCTACTCTGTTTCCACAAGCTTGGCTTTTTAAGATTCCACTTATAAGTGATGTCACGCAGTAATTGTCTTTCTCTGAGTGACTTATTTCACTTAGTATAACGCCCTCGAGGTCCACCCGTACTGTCACAAATGGCAGAACTTCCTTCTTTCTCATGGTTGAATCTCTCTCTCTCACATATTCCTCACCTGGTCATCTGTAGGCGGACACTTAGGTTGCTTCCACATCTTGGCTGTTGTGAACAATGCTGCAATAACCATAGGCAGGCAGGTATCTCTTTGACACCTTGTTTTTGCCTCCTTTGGATACATGATTAGGAGTGGGATTGCTGGATCACACGGCAGATCTATTTTTAATTTTTTCAGGAACCTCCATACTGTTTTCCACAGCAGCTGCACCAATTTACATTCCCAGGTTCCCTTTTCTCCACATCCTCACCAACGCTTTTTTTAAAAAATGCAAAACATAATTAATTAGTTTTCAGCTAACAAGAACCACATGCATGTATTCCTAAAATTATATTATGTCCTCCCGTTCAGTTATAATAACGATTGTGTATTAGCAAACACCTGAAGGTTTTGTTGACTGAGTTTCATAAACAACAGTATAGGATAATAAAACCATTCATTTCAAATTTCTTCATTTGAAAGAACAATGTAGATCACGAATCCATTATTCTGTCTTGCCAAAAAACAATTAAGAGAAAAGCTTTATGAAGACGGCTTTCTGAAAGACCGTCTTCCAAGTTAGAATCCCCAGGTTGGCACGAATAAAATTCTCTCTTTCTCCTTTAGACTGACTGTTGATTAATTTTTTGTCAACAGATCAGAAACGTTTTCAGAGAAGAAAAGATATATAATTTTCCTTTTATGAAAAAAGCCAGTGTAAGATATCAAATATTTCTCAGATTAAAGGAAGGTCATTAAAGGAAGATTGTCCCAAGCAAATTAAAACACTCATTTCTAGTGAGTTGAGATTAGGGTCCCCATCAGAGATTTTCGGTCAGGACATACTCCTTGGAATGTAGTAATTCAGGGAAAATTTCTCTCGGACTTGGTGGAAACTTCATACCACTATTACTGCGGAGAATCCGCATCCGACAAAAGAACTGGTCTTCCAGGCATCTTCGCGGCTCCACGTTGCTCTCCGTGAAATTCTCAAGCTGGATTTAGGTCTGCGACACCGTGCGTGATTGTTCTACATATTACAGTCTACGTATTAGATTCAGTCTTTTCTAACTGCATTTCCCCTCCTTCTTTTTGGGTAAAACTTCCTTCAGTTCTGTACACAAACAGGTCACTGTTTACGTGCATGCGTTACACAAGTCTCCCGCGTCTCTGTGGCTGTGAGCTCACAGCGGGAGCCCTCAGAGTAACTGGCGCTCAGCCGGGCTGAGCTGGAAGGCAGAACCCCGTCTTGCACAAGCAGCAGTTCCTCTTTCTGCTTAGCAGGGGGTGTCGTCACCCTGCGGCAAGGGGTTAAAGCCCCAGGCTGCGCCGTCCGTGCCCGCCGCCTGTGAACGCTGTCTGCCCGGCTGGCCGTGCGCTGTGGAGTGGGCCGTGTGCGCAGAGGCGCGGCCATGGCCCCGGGGGTCGTTCTCATGTTTGGACTCGGTGAGTCCTGCAGGGGAATTTGTGTGGGAGGCCGGAGAGCAAAGAGGATAGAGTGAGGACCATGACCTGGGTTCCGCTCGTGGGAGTCCTCCTCCGTGGGGCCCTGAGACTAGTGAGTCACAGGAAGATGACCACTTTCAGGGCTACTTTCCTTCAGTTTGGTCTAAGTCCGGTGCCTTGAGTTCAGGTGTCTGGGAATCGTTGTCTTACTGGGAGACATCCCTTACCAAGTCTTTCTCTATTTTAGCGTTCTGCCTGGACCAAAGGATTTGGGCACAGACTGGTGAGTGTTTCCTTTTCTCCGCCTAGACAGCTGAGCGGGGCTGAGCGGACTGCAGAATGAGCTTGAGTGGCCTTGAAGGAACCCCAGCCTGCAGCCTGCAGCCTGCACCAGCCCCTCATTTACGCTCTTTATATTTTTTTGTATTTTAATTCTTCACCGTTAGGCCAGTCTTTGGTGGAAAACCTCTCCCCTTCTCTAGAAAGCTTTCCCATCCCCCGCTCTTCCCTATCGACACAGATGAGTCAAGAAGAGAATGCTCAGGTTTTAAAATAATGCTGAAAGGGAACACAGTGGGCGTCGGCACTCACAATGCGGACAAAGAGAGCTGGGTGCGCCGCACGGCCCCAGAGCGCCCTGTGCGTACAGGGCTGTCAGTGGCGGGTATGTTGCGTGCCCTGTCATCGCCTCAGCTGCTCCCAGCTCTCTCAGCTCTGGAAGGTCTGCCCACAAGGATGGCATTCTTGTTCAGGAGATGCACTTGAGGTACAACGAAGCCCCCAACATTTGCTGGTTCTGTAACATTTTGCAAGCAGCTTCCTGCATTGGAGCCCAAGTTCCTTCTTTCCAAAATGAAATAATAACAGAGTGTTGCATCGGGTAAGATACAGTTGCGTGTCGAGCTCAGACAGCAGCGCTTTGCCCAGATTAGAGACCATGGTGTACTGTTAACAATTGCTAGGTGACATTTATCGAGGTTTTCCCATTGCCAAGTGCCATTCTCAGTTTTTGCATGTATTATCTCATTTTAATCACATTAACTCCACCAAAAGGTAAGTTAGTCTTTTCATATTCCAGGTATGTTGAGCCCTATATGTGACCTCAACATTGTACTATGTGCCTAGCATAGGGTTTTAATTAATTGAAATACAATATGACATTAGTCTCGGGTGCACTACATAATGATCTGCCATTTGCATGCACTATGAGATGGTCACCACGCTAAGGCTAGTGGCCGTCTGTTCCCGTACAAAGTCACGCTGTTATTGAGCACATTCCCACGACTCATTACAGACCTGGAGGTTCGTGCTTCTTAGCCGCCTTCGCCTGTCTCACCCCCACCTCCCTTCTGGCAGCCACCTGTTTATTCTCTGGTTCTCTAAATCCGGTTTTGTTCTGTTTTACTCGTTTTGCTCTTTAGAGGCTACATATAAGTGACACCACAGCTTATTTGTTTTTCTCTGTCTGACTGGGTGGACTAACGGTGATCTGTTTCAGCCCCCGGCATCTGCTAACGGCTGTAAGCTTGCCACTCACTCCAGCAAAAAATGCTCCTGTGAGTTTCAAGTCCAATGAATCATTTAACATCTACTCAGAGACCTAATGGGAATCTCAGTAGAACCTTTCCCCAGCACATCTCAGAACCTCCTCCTCATGCTGGTCTTCTTTTTCAGTGGATGCCGCCCGTCCCTTCCAATGACCAGCTCACTGAGAATGGTATTTGCTGTTCCCCTTTCCTCTCAGTGCCCACCTACTCCGTTACCAGATGTCAAAGCTCACCATTCCCATCCTCAAAAAACTCTGCGCGCTCATTCCCTTTTCCCTCCCTCATCATCACTTTGTCATTACACAATCGCCTGTCACCCAACTGCCTGTGGCATGTTCCCTAATTGTCGCTCCACTTTCCAGCTGGCCCCTTAAATCCATTTATCACACTGGAAATCCAGTGATTAAAGAAAAATACGAGCCCATGGCTTGTCAATCCCTTTGCGGGTCATCATCGCATGTAGACTTAAACCCAGACTCTCCTCTGTCCTTCCAACGTTTGGACCTTTGCTGATGTGTCCTGACCTTGCTGTCTCTACCGGGAGCCGTTCTTCCCTCACGTACCGTTTGTCCTTTCTGTGTGTGGGTCTCACAAAACTCCCTCTCACCTCTGCGTCTGTGTGCGTTGTTCCCTCTGCCTGGAAGGTGTTTGCCTGGTACTCCTGAGACCTGGCTGCATCTTAGCCTTCAGGGACCATCTCCCAAAGAAATTGCTCTTATGATGCACGGTAAATAGCTTTATCATAATTTATCTCAGTTCACAGAAAAGTAAAGACTTCAACAGTGTGTTGGTTCACGTGTCTAGACTCTATTGCTGAGTAGGTTTACTATGGTTTCCAGAATAGCCAATAACACCTCATACACGGAAGGCACACAATAAACACTCATTAAGTGGATGAATTAATCCAATAGGAGATCAGTAACAGATCTTCACTGTTTACTGATTCCTAGATCTACCTGAAATCTACCGAGACCCTCCTGAGAATGGGTCCCTCCCCATCGTGATTGGGACGTCCGTCATCTCTGCCCTCCCTCTACTCTTCCTCCTTCTCTTCCTCCTCTGCTGGTGCTGGTGTCAAGCCAAACACAGTACGTCCTGGAGGGGGAAGTGGCAGCCTGGGAGGAGAGTGGGGAGAGGCTTGATGGGTCCAGGACTCTAATCACCGACTCTCTGCAGAGGCCGTTGACAGTGAGACGAAGAGCCAAGGGACCTACGACAGGTAGGAGAAATTGGACCCTCCCAGTAGAAAACGCTGCTTCTGTCTGATTCCTCAGACCTCCCTTAATGCTTCTGTCTCCTTTCCCTCAGCACCAGCCCCGGCATGGACTTCCCAGAAGAAACTCAATGTAAGAGGAGTGGGAAGGCGGGGCACTGGGGGTGGGGAGGGACGTATTCAGGGGAAGACAGAAGGCATCCTGGAAGGAGCGGAGAAGGGGGGGCAACCTTGCTGGCTGTGATGTCACAGCCCTTCCCTGATTTCAGTCATCCGTCTCTGAAACAGAGACGGCAGGACCGGACAATGTGAGGGTGCTCCCTGGAAGCCTGTCCTCTCTTCTATCCTTGCAGGCGAGGTCTCAGTGGACACCCGGCCCGAGGAGGACAGACAGATGGACATGCAGGTGAGTCTTTCCTCCTTCCCCGGTCCCTTCCCCACGTGCTCTCTTCTCACCTTACCTCGTGTCTTCGTGCTGACAGGCCCCCACAGAGAAAGGCAAACAGGAGGTGATCTCCGCCCAGCTACGCCAAGATTCCTGTGCAGAGAACGTGGACCCACCATTCTCCGGCGCCCTTGAGGAGCCCCCCAGATAGCCCTGTGTCTATGCCGACTTCACCTCGTCCTGCGTGCAGAGCTGGAGCTGGCGGGGGGGGGGGCGGGGGGGGGACTCCAGGCCTCAAGGGCCCCTTAAGGAAGAAGAGGCTGCGAGAAGCGTCCCGCTCATGAACCTCAACACCAGCCGTCTTCTCGGAGCTCCCCAAAGACTCAAGGATACAGAAGTCTTGTCAACTGTCAAGAAATTCTGGGACCCATTACATGTCTCTTAAGAGATTCCTGGTTCTTTGTGCATCTACCCCCTCACTAGCTTATTTAACAAATGTTCACAGAAGTGGACTCTTTCTCTGGACCTGTGCTGAGGCTGCACATATTGGTAAGACATAGCTTCTGCTCTTAGGGAACTCCTGGTCCGCTGAGAGAGGCAGACCACACGGTCTGGCCCTTGGAAAGCCACGAGGGCGTAACGTACAGGAGCAGGTGGAAGGGGGATTTGGGTCACCGGGCAGCACAGCTGTCCAGGCTCGTCCAAGGAGCACACACTGGTACCAAATACCAGGAGAAATCAAGAAGAAGTGAGAGTCAAACTGAGCAGGCGGAAGTTTCTAACGACATCTTGGTCCAACGTTCTAGGAGGTGCTGAGAGCTGAAGCCTTCAGAGCGGGAAAAACATGTGCCAAGCCAGAGGAGAATGACCTACTTGGCTCCCAGCACCCACGCTTCAGCTAGAAAAATACGTTTTCTTTTAAGCTCACATTTTCTCAACAGAATGGGACTAAAGCCGCACCTATTTCTCCGGCTTCTGTGGGAATCAAAAGAGAGAATGCTTGAAAAGTGAGTAGCATTAAAAAGAGATATTCATGCACCCAAGTTTATCTTGTCTTCTAAGTCCCAGAGAGCTGTAGCCCAATGTGACTGGGGGTGATCTTGCCCCCCAAGGGCCATCTGGCAATGTCTGGAGATGTTTTTGGTTGTCGCAGCTGGAAGGGACATGGTGCTAGCGACGCCTGGTGGATGGAGAACAAGGATGCTAGTAAACCTCCTATAATGCTCAGGACAGCCCTCCTGGACGCCAGCAGAGAATCACCCGGTCCTCAATGTCAACAGTGCCAAGGCTGGGACACCCTGATCTGACCCCTATAATCTCTTCAGTCTCAGTTTCATGCTCACTTAATTCCAGCCACATCAGTCATTTTCCGGTTACACGAACAAGCCAAGCTCTTTACTCCACCAAGGATTTTGGGCACACTGAATGTGCTGCGTTAATATGTCTTAGGATCAGGCGCAACCTCAAATGTCACCGCTCCAAAGGGAAGTCCCTTGGAACCATTCTATTACAGAGACACATCAGACAATAGTCCATCTCAGCAACTTGTTCAAAGCATCATAATGTCCACACATTTTCCCTTGGAAAGGGTCTAAATGGTGCAGCAACTCCCCATTCTCCCTCCCCGCAGCCCCCGATATCTTCCAGTCTACCCTCTGTCCCCACGAATTTGCCTACTCTGGATATTTCATATAAATGGAATCATACAACGTGCGGTCTTTTGTGTCTGGTTTATTTCACTCAGCGTAATGTGTTCAGGGTTCATCCATGTCATTGCACGTGTCAGAATTTCCTTCCTGTAAGTACTGGGGATTGAGCCCAGGACCTTGTGCATGCCAAGCATGTGCTCCACCACCGAGCTCCACCCGTCCGTCGGCACCTGATCCCTTTTTAAGACTGAACAATATTCCATTGGGGTAGGTATATACCATAGTTTGTTTAATCATTCTCCCATCAGTGGACACGAGTTGTTTCCTTGTTTTGGCTGTTGTGAATAATGCTGCCATGAACACAGCTGTACAAATATCTGTTCAAGTTCCTGCTTTTGATTCTTTTGGGTATTTACCCAGAAGTGGAGTCGCTGAGTCATTCATTGCTTCATATGTTGAGGAAATGCCAGACTGTTTTCCACAACAGCTGTACCTACCTGCCCGCAGTGCATGAGGATTTCAACTTCTTCACGTCCTCAGTCGACATTTGTTGTCTTTTTGATGACAGTCATCCTTGCAGGTGAGAAGTGATGTCTCGCTGTGGTTTTGACCTGCATGTCCCTAATGGATGTCAGGGAGTTTATGGGAGTATTGGAAACACAGAGGACGCCTCGCTAGGCAGACGTGGTGGGACACTGGGCTGGTGACGGGAGATAAAGTGACGCTACTTGGAGCTTGTGTGCAAGTCATTCTACGGAGCAGAAGGCTCTAGCTTGATGAGTCTCAACTAGGAAAAGCCAGGCTGATGGGGGAGGGGAGGAAATCGCTCTGCATCCTCATCACATCCTGTGCCTCTGCTGCAGTCCCCGCCCAAGTCTTCCCTCCTGGGCTATGGAGCTCAGGATGGGCCAAGGAGCCATGTCCCCATCCCTGCCTGCCCTCTTCTGTCTTGGTGAGTCAGTCTGGGAAAGCCTGTGGGACATGTGTGGGCTCTGAGACGAAGAATTTAGAAAAATGCATCAGTGATGAATTTCAGGGCAAAAGGTGACCACAGTGGTCACCCCATTTATTTGTTGTGGGGGGAAGCTGGGGCCCAGGGAGGTGGTGTTTGTCGGAGGTATTCTAGTGTGTTCATGGCTGGCTCCGGAAATGAATACGGGTCTCCCAGTAATGCTGGCTGCAACTTTCTCCCACTACACTTAAATTTCTTTTAATTTAAAAAAATGTGGACTCACTGACTAGAGTATAGAATTAGTTTGTCAGTATCCCTCTTGGTACTGATGCAAACAATGCTGCCGTTGGCAGCAATGTGGATGGACCCCGACGGCATTGTCCTAAGTGAAAAGCCACACAGAGAGAGAAAACAGAGCAGGATCTTACTTATAGTCGGAATCTCAAAAAGTCGAACTCACAGAAGCAGGGAGTAGGTTGGTGGTGTCCGGGGACTGGGAAGTGAGGGTGGGGGAAGACAAGAGGGTGGATGTTGGTCAAAGGGCACAAACTTCTAGTTATCAGGGGAGTAAGTTCTGAGGATCTAAGTCACAGTGTGGTGACTGTGGTTAACTGTACTACAGAGCATGGTGCTCGGAATTTGCTAAAAGAGCAGATCTTAAGTTTCTCTCTCTCATACACACGAAGATGGTTCTGTGACGTGATGGATGTGTTAGCTTGATTGTGGTAATTATTTCACAGATCATCATGCTGTATGCCTTAGATTTATGCGATTTTTATTTGTAAATTATACTTCGGCAAGGCTGGAGTAGGAGTGCCCCCTAACAGGGCTGGCGGTGGGGTCAGACGCGTCTGTGCTGTCTCCTCCTCGTGGGCTTTGTGCTGGGCGTGTGTGCGCACTGTTTCCTTATTCCGTCAAAAGAACTTTATCGCTAAAAGCTTAGAGGCTTGGGGCTAAGCAGGAAGGAAGCAGCTGTGTTACTGGGGATAAGAGTGCAAACTATGAACACAAACTGCCTCTTGTTCATTCATTCACTCATTCATTTATTCATTTTTAAAACACACCCATGTAGCACTTACTGTGGGCTAGATATTGCTCTATGTTTTAAAATAGACACTTGTTTAAACGCCATTAACCGCCTGATGCAGTATTACTATTATTCCCTACTATTATTCCCATTTTACAGGTGAGAAAACTGAAGCCCAGAAGGATTAAGTAACTCATTTAAGGTCACACAGTTCTGGCTCAAATACAAACTAAGGAATTTTTGCACCAAATCCATATTCTTTACCATGAAAATATGCTGCTAGTGTTTGACTCTACCTTCTACCAGCTGTAGGACCATGGACTTCATGGGACTTACTATGCAAAAAAAAAAAGAAGATATTGTGTATATATATATATTATATATATATGTGTATATATAATATATATATATCCTTGTTTATCTGAAATTCAAATTTAACTGGGAGTCCCATGTTTTTATTTCCTAAATCTGGTAACCCTAGTGAGACTAAAATACATAATGCTATTAATTCAGTGAAAAGGTTAAAAAAAAAGGAGTCTTAGTTTGAGAGAAAAAGGGTAATAGTTCACCCTAGAGAGGGATTTGTTCAGATAGAAGGGAAAGTGGGGGGAGGGCGCCTCCAAGGAAAAAACGTGGAATTTATAGATCATGCAATTTGATAGATGGCTAAAATTATATGGAAAGGCTATTGAAAATTGTGGAAAGAATTAGATACAGGTTCAAGGACAACCATGCAGGTGGAAATAAAACACACAATTATTGATCCTAGGGGAGATAAATAGAAAAAAATATAGGCACAATATTGTAATCCTCAAGTGTGAACAATATTTGCACAGTCATAATAAAGTAATTAATAGAATACTGATTTAGCCCATAAGGGTTAAATGGGGAGAAGTCTAGGATTAACACATCTCTTGACTTACAACGCAGGAGACGCCCATCTGGATCTAATTACAGCATGGTGATTACAGCCAATAATACTGTATTATACTGAATGCAATTAATGCCACTGGACTGTACACTTGAAAATGGTTAAAATGCCAAATCTTATAGGTATATATTTACCACAGGTAAAAAAGTAGTGTAATAGACCCCAAACCATTGAATTGTACATTTTAAATGGGTGAATTGTATGGTATCTGAATATCTCAATAAAGGTGTTTAAAAAAAATACTGCACTGTAAGGGGGGAGGGTATAGCCCCTTGGTGGAGTGCTGTTTTTAGCATGCTCCAGGTCCCCAGTTCAATCCCCAATAACTCTGCTAAAAAACAAACAAACAAATAAATGAACAAACAAACAATAAATAAACCTAATTGCCTCCCCCCCAAACAATTTTTTAAAAAAATACCGTATGATAAGCTGAAAGTTGCTAAGAGATCTGCAGTGTTCTCACCACAGAAAAGAAATGGCGACCCCAGGACCGGGTGGAGGCGTCAGCTAGCGCTGCCCTGATAACCTTTCTGCAACACACGAATGTATCAGATCAACTCGTTGTACTTGTAAGCCTCAAACCTATACAATGTTGTAGCTTCAACTATTATATTTCCATAATAGAACAGTATCTCCATAAAGCTGGGGGGAGAAAAGCGAGAACCCCCCCAATCTGGCACACCGCCCCCTTCTCTTTCCAGTTGCCAAAATTTGCCAGAAGTCTCTGCGTGGGGGAGGTGTCCTACAGGGAGCTGGGGGATGGGCTAAGGAATCCCTGTTTGGCTTTTAAAAAATTGTGGCAAAATAATAAATTAAACATAAAATTCACCATCCAGGACATTTAGTCCATTCACAACGTCCTGCAATCAACCCCCCTCTCTAGTTCCAAGACATTTTCAGCACTCCAGAAGGAAATCCCCTATCTTTGCAATCACGCTTTAATCTCCTCTCCTCGCAGCCCCCTGCAAACAGTCATCTGCTGTCTGCTTCTGGGCAGATTTATCTGTTCTGGATATTTCATATACACCGAGTTACACAGTCGTGGCTTTTTGCGGCTGGTTTCTTTGCCTTCAATTATGTGCATGTGTATCTTTGAAAAAAGAATTATGACAGAAGAAAGAACGCATGCAAGTTTCTCATCACGGTGCCCAGCACGCAGAAGGGTGGGTTCACACAAGGTCCTAGTAACCGGTCCTTTTCTTCTTCCTTCAGGGCTGTGTCTGGAGCAGGTGATACACGCTCACTACGGTGGGTCAGGAATCCCCCTGGGGGTTTGGCCAGCGAGCGGGGTCGGGGGGCAGGAGGGGTGCGAGCCTCTGTCAGGGAGCTGACCGCTGCTTGCCTTCCAGGCCCGCTGCCCAAGCCCTCCCTCCAAGCCCTGCCCAGCTCCCTCGTGCCCCTGGGGACGCCGGTGACCGTCCGCTGCCAGGGGCCTCCAGGCGTGGACTTGTACCGCCTGGAGAAACTGAAATCCAGCCAGTATTTCGATTATGGGGTTCTCTCCTTCTCTGCCATGGAGAAACGTTTCGCCGGGGTCTACCGCTGCTCGTACCAGAACGGGAGCCGCTGGTCTCTCCCCAGCAGCCAGCTGGAGCTGGTGGCCACTGGTAACTGGAAGCGTGGAGGCCGGGTGTGCTGGGACGTGTGGCCTCTGGGCTACGTGGTCCTCAGCTCGGGGCTCCAAGAGGGTGACGATGGGGATGATGATGACAGTAAACCCGAAGTCCTAGCAGAGCTGGGATGAGGGTGGGGCAAGGGGGGCTTGTCCTTAAGGGCTAAATTTAGAACTCAGTAATCAACAGAAATAATATGCTAATACTGTATCTTAAAAAAAACCCCTCAAATCAATGCAAAAACATCCACGATATACACAATATTGCAATTTTAAATAATGCCAGATTTGGGCAGTGCTGTTCCAAGCCCTATTCCAGCCTGACGCAAGAGGAAAAATGTGTATTCCCTCATGCATGTTCGAATGCATTTTTTATTTTTATTGAAATTTTTCCCCCTTAACGGAGGCACTGGGGATTGAACCCAGGACCCTGTGCAAGGCAGGTCTGGGCTCTACCACTGAGCTACACCCTCCACCCCCTATTTTTATTTTTTGATGGAATAAAGTGTTCTCAACCTATTCTTTTATTCCTAATACATTTTAAAATGATTACTTTCCAAAGTAGATTTTTAAAATGTTGATGCGTTTGCTTCCATGAAGGCCAGGAGAGTCAAATGGTAATATATTCTGCCTTTAAAAAATTTTTTATTTTTTATTGAAGTGTAGTTGACTCACACTGTTAATTTTGTCTCAAATTATCAGGCAACTCTTGCTGTTGTGAAGACTGTATGCCAGGTGTGGACTGCCATGCTCTGTGATGATAACCATATCAAAGTATTATTATATCCAATACTATGATTATCAAATTATACAGCAGGGTAGGTTCATATTTCAGACTTCAACATGGCTTTCCCGGGCACAGTTGGATTCTGTCTTTGTTTATAATCTTGATGTTCTTCCTTGTAAATGTGTTTGCGTTCATTTTTATTTTAAAAATCGCATTAAATATTATTTATCTTGATTACTGAGGTTGGTTTCTATTTTTTTTTTCCTGCATCCAAGGACAAAGCCTAGCTTGCCGCACCCTGATTCCCGACCCGAGGTCCACCATGTGCCTTGGGGACTGACTCAGACGCTACCTCCTCATTAAATATTTCCCTCACCACACTATTTAAGGTTGCATCTTGATTTAAAACAGCGCTCGGCATTATCTGGTATGCCACACATTTACTTATTTTTAAGTTATTCTTTCTTCCTGTTGGAATTTTTGTTTCTTGGAACAGAGACTGACACATAGCAGTTGCTCAGAGGAAAAAAAAATTGTTGCGTGAGTCACAGTCACTAGCCAGCATTTGCTGTTGTGAGTGTGGTGTTCCCGGTGTGGACTGCCATGCTCTGTGGTGATTAAACATACCAAATTACATAGTAGGGTGCGCTCCCGCTTAGGAGCAGACAGCCTGGAGCCAAGCTCCGTGACTGCAGATTCCAGCTCTGCCACTTACTATCTTGTGACCTCGGACAAGTTATTCAGCACCGTGCACCCTCGTTTCACGTGTAAAGGGGGGATATTTACAGGGGTGAATTCATTGAGGATTCAGTGAACTGATATACGTCATGGGCTTGGAACAGCACCTGGACTCTGGAACTTTAATACAAGTTAGCTACTGTATATTGTAATACAAGCTCACGGGACAATGTAAAGTTAAGCTATTTTGTCATTGCCGTATTTGGGGTGCTGGCTGTGCACTGGGTATTCTGTTAAATGCTCAATTACACTGTCTCATCCAACGGCTGCCGTTTTGTAGTAGAGAACACTGAGGCACAGATGAGGGGGAGGTGTTTCCAGTCCCTAGGCTGCAAAGCCGGGGTTTGAGCCTGGGCACTGCCATGTGCCTCCAGTCACGCTCCCTTAACCACTGTGTGACCTGGTGGTGGGAAGGGTGGGTTCTGTAGAGTGGAAACAGGTGGAAAGTTCCCTAGCTCTCAGGGAGGCGGGGAGCCTTCCCACCCCGATAGCCGAGACGCTGGTCACCATCTTTCACACCAGAATCCTCTTTCCTCGCAGGCGTTTTCACCAAGCCCTCACTCTCAGCCCAGCCCAGTGCAGCGGTGTCCCCAGGGATGGACGTGACTCTGCGGTGTGAGAGCCAATACGGTTTTGACCGATTTGCTCTGTACAAGGAGGGAGACGCTGGGCCCTACAAGAGACCCGAGCAGTGGTACCTGGCCGACTTCCCCATCACCACAGTGACTGCTGCCAACAGCGGGACTTATCGATGCTACAGCTTTTCCAGCAGTTCCCCGTACCTGTGGTCAGCCCCCAGCGACCCTCTGGAGCTCGTGGTTAAAGGTCAGCGGTGCAGACCAAAGCTTTCTCCCTCGGCCTTCACAGGCCCTGATGGAAGTTCCAAGGGGAGGGACCTAAAAGCATGGAGGAAGCAGGAGGGCAGGAGGGGACGGGGGCTTTGGAGGGTGTAAGGGGGTCTGAATGATGCTGTAACAAACTACCGCAAGTTCACTGGCTTAGAACATCGCAGACTTATTACCTTAGAGTTCTGGAGGTCAGAAGCCCAAAATGGGTCCTACTGGGATAAAGCAAAGGTGTGGTCCAGGCTGGGTTCCTTCTGCAGGCTCTAGGGGAGAATTTGTTCCTGGTGTCCTTCCCGGCTTCTCAAGGCTCCTACATCTATCTCTTGGCTCCCACGGTCTCTTCCTCATGATCGAAGCCAGCAGCATAACGTCTTCACATCTCTCTGTCTCTGGCTCTTCTGCCCTCTTGCCTCTATTATACTTTTAAGGACCCTTGTGATTACACTGGGTCCACCAGATAATCCAGGATAATCTCCCCACCCCAAGATCCTTAATCCTGTCTACAAAGTCCCTTTTGCCATATAAGGTACCACAGTCACAGGCTGTGGGGGTAGGATCCTGTCATATCTGGGAGGCCGTTATTCTGTCTACTACAGAGCATATACACTAAGAAAAATAAATGTTAATACTGTGAATAAAGCCTTGTGATTTGTCTAGGTAAAAAATAAAACCCACAAGCAAATGCAACAAAATCTTGCAGAAATTACTTTAAAAATGCTGCCATCATAGGAAGGAAACTTTGAGGTCATCCCCCTTACACCACAGTCACACATTCTGTCTTTTTTATTTTTGATCATCTCAGTACAAGGTCTCTCTATAAAAAATCTTGCTGCTAAATTCTTCACATTAACTGATGTAATTCGAAATTCATGATTATATTTTATGTTCACCTTTTCTTATGATTATGCATTTTCACAAGTTTTTGAAGCAATCAAATTATTTAAACGGTTTCAGAATAGAGGAGACAAATGATTCTATCAGCAAAGGGAAAATTCTTGAAAATTCTTATCCTTCTAATCATCAGAGGATTAATAAAGTTAGTACAGAGTGGAATGAGAAAGTATTTGCATTCAGAGTGATTTATTTATTTATTGTTCGCTTGTATTGGGGCGGGGCGGCGAGTAGGTTCCTTAGCTGATTTCCGTTGGAGGAGGTCCTGGGGACTGAGCCCGGGACCTCCTGCTCGCTGAGCATGCGCTCTGCTACTTGAACGATACCCTCCCCCCCATTCAGACTCATTTTCATTCAAATCTAGCTAGTGAGCTAATTATTCACTAGGAATCATCTTTCATTCTTTAAAAAAACCTACTTATTGAGGTTTGATTTATATGCCTTAAAGTTTACCCGTTTTAAGCATCCAATTCAATGCTTTTTGGTGAGTTTAGAGTCGCGCAGTCATCACCACAGTCCAATGATGGCGCATTCCCAACGCTGCTAGAAGATCTCCTGTGCCCGTTTTCAGTTACTTTTCATCCCATCACAAACCTACTACTTCTGCGAATTTGCTTTTTCTAAGAATTTCCTATACTTTTTTGTGACTGATTTCTTTCACTCAGCATGTTTTTTTCTGAGGTTCATTCATAATGTAGCCTGTGTCAGTTTTCTGTTCTTAAATGGTGCTTCTTTCAAAAGGGGACAGCACAGCTCATAAAGAAAATGTGATATATACACCCAGTGAAATATTATACAGCCTTAAAAAGAACGAGATCTCATCACATGCGACACATGGATGAACCTTGAGGACACCGTGCTAAGTAAAATAAGCCGGTAACAAAAGAACATATGCTGGATGATTCTACTTATACGAGGTAGTCAAAATCATAGAGAGAGAAAGTAGAATGGTGGTTGTCAGGGGCTGGGGGAGAGGAGAAAGGAAAATAGTGTTTAATAAGGACAGAGCTTTAGTTTTGCAAGATGAGAAATTCTGGAGCTCTGTTGACCCATAATGTGACTGCACTTAATACTGCTGAACTGTCCACGTAAATGTTCAGGATGTTACACTTAATGTTACGGGATTGCAACTACACTTAGAAATAAAATAAAAATCAAAGAGGCCGGTATATGTTTCCCTGCTCTAATACCTGAAGATGTTTTCTTTTCTTTTAAGTCTTTGTCTCCTTTTCCATCTCATGCTTCCTACTGCATCTTTGAAACCTTTCATCTGACAATTTCTCCACATCCGCCGTCTCTACCTGCACAACCCCCGCAGCCTCCACACTGGCCTCTCTGCTTTTGATTGAAATATAATTGACCTATAACCTTGCATAAGTGTAAGGTTTATAACGTGTTGACTTGATACATTTATATATTGCAACAGGATGACCATCATAGCTTAGCTAACACCTCCATCTTGTCACATAATTACTATTTTGTGTGTGTGTGTGTGTGTGTGTGTGTGTGTGTTGAGAATGTCTAAGATCTAGTCTCTTAGCAGCCGTGAAGTCTGGCGTATAGGATGCTGCCTGCAATCACTGTGCTGTGCGTTAGGTCTCATCTCTGAGCTGCAAGCTTGTCTGGCTTCACACATTTACCCTCTTTAGACGGTTAGCAAAACGACAGCAAGAGGAAGCCTTTAAAAACAGGTGGTTAAAGTCAGATGATTTCAGACCTTTGCTCAAAGTCAGCAGTGCTCTCACCTTGGTCTTCTCCAAGCCCCTGCTTTACCTGTCGGGTCACCTGCCTACTGCTCCCTCCCTGCCCCCTCCCCCATTGACTCTGCTGTAGACACACTGGGCGTCTTGCCTTCCCTCGAAAATGCAGGCTTAGTGTGGCCTCAGGGACTTTGCACGTGCTGGGAGGCGTTCCCCAGATATCTCCATGACTCATTCCGTTGCCTCCCTCAGGCCTTCAGTCAGAAGTCACCTTCCTGCCTCTCTGACACTCTCTAGCCACCTCCTCTTTGTGACAGCAGGTCACAAAGATCTAGGAGACGGGACAGAACCGAGCTTTGAAAAGCAGGGAAGGCAGCCACAGGGACTGTCGTCCATCAGCCCCAGAACGTTCTAGGTGCACCTCTCAAAGGCTGCTTCACACCCACGATGGTACAGGGGTAGACGCTTCTTTATTTTTATTTTCCAGGGGAGGAAACTGAGTTGCAGAGAGGCTTTTCTATTTGCTCAGGATCTAACCCTAACGGAGCACAGAACTCTCTTTGTATCTTTCCTGATTCCTCAGGGACCTCCGTGACCCCCGGCTGGCTGCCCACAGAGCTGCCGTCCTCTGCAACAGGTAGGCTCTGGAGGACTCACCTCCGTGTCTGGGGTGCAGGGCACATGGACTCCTCTTTCGCTTTCTCCTCTCTGTCTAGATTTCTCAGTTTAACTCACTTGCCTCTTTCACAGATTTGCTTTGTTTTAAAAATCCCTTAGTTCTGCGTGTAAGGAGGGTGGGTGTTGTAAGTAGACGGTATGCCTAGCCTGTCTCACATCCCCACCACGATCCAGCCTTAGCGCTGTGGCTTGTGTGTCGTATGTGGAAGAACAAGCTGAGTGTCTTGGAAAATTGTAGATTCCTGGACTCCAATTCTGAGCCTCTGACTCCACTGGCCAGCCGTTCTCAAACTGCAGTGCGCCTGAGACTCACCTGGAGGGCTTATCAAGGACAGACCTCTGGGCCCCGAGAGTGTCTAATTCAGAAGGTCTGGGGTTGAGGCCAATAATTTTCAGTTCTAACAAGTTCCCATGGGATTTTGCTGTTGATCTGGGGATGCCACTTTGAAAAACCAATGCGTTTATTAAAATTAATTAATTAATTTTAAATCAGTTTTTTTTAGGGGGGAGGTAATTAGGTTTTTATTTAAGTTATTTTAGTGGAGGTAGTGGGGCTTGAAGCCAGGACCTCCTGCATGCTGAGCACGTGCTCTACCAATGAGCTATCCTCTCCCTCCTAAACCACATTTTTTAATATATATGTATTTTTTGAAGTACAGTCAGTATACAATGTTGTGTCAACATCTGGTGTACAGCACACTGTGTCAGTCATACACAGACATACATATATTCCTTTTCCTATTCTTTTTCATTTCAGGTTATTGCAAGATATTGAATAGAGTTCCCTGTGCTACATAGTATAAATTTGTCGTTTATCTATTTTATATATAGTAGTCAGTATTTGCAAACCTTAAACCCCCAATTTATCCCTCCCCACCCTCTTCTCCCCACTGGTAAACATAAGTTTGTTTTCTATTTCTGGGCATCTGTTTCTGCTTTGTAAATACGTTCATGCATGTCTTTTTTTTTTTTTTTTTAGATTCCACATATAAGTGATATCATATGGCATTTTTCTTTCTCTTTCTGACTGCACTCCATTTTGTGTGAGCCACAGTGTTCCCCATTTTCAAACATATCTCAGCGGCTTCTGGTGCACGGATGACAGCCTGCGCCTTAAGAAACAGTGCACGAGGCTGTGGCACCTCTTAACATTTCCTGTGTCTCAGGGAGACCTCAAACCCAAATTACAAGCATCGTGTTGAAAGGATCCAAGGTGGATGAGAATGTGCTGACAGATGGGGCTGAGGGCAGGAAGGGGCTGTTACGCCAGAGGAGGCACAGCTCGTGTCATGTTTCTTATTGGAATTAAAAAAAATGACATATAGTTGATACAATATTATATAAGTGACAGGTGTACAACATACTGATTCACATTTTTAAAGGTTATCCTCCGTCTATAGTTACTATAAAATATTGGCTATATTCCCTGTGTTGTACAGTATACCCTTGTAGTTTATTTGTTTTATATATAATAGTTTATACCTCTTAATCCCCTGTCCCCGTACTGCCTCTGTTCTCTTCTCTCTCCCCACTACTCATTGGAATTTTTAAACTTTTTATTTTGAGATATTGATTCACAGGAAGTTGCAAAGATAGTACAGAATATACCCTTTGCCTGGAATGCTGCAATAATTACAGTACAGCATAAAAACCAGGAATCTGACGCTGGCTGAATACTTAGTTCTATGTTGATTTATCACACACGCAGGTTCATATAACCACCATTGCATTCAAAATACTATTCCAAGTAACTCAAGCATTATGCTGTGCCCCAGAAATTGACACAATATTGTAAACTGACTATACTTCAATAAAAAATACATATGCACAAATAAATAAAGTAGTATCTAAACTAAAACCAATACTATTCCAAGGAGAAAAAAAGATAAAGATATTTCTCAGGGCCCTCCTTCATAGTCACCCCTCCCGTCCCACGATCCCTAACCCCTGGCAAGTTCTAATTTGTTCTTCCTCGATTTAATTTGCCACTTGGAGAGTGTTATATATAAATGCAGTCATATCATGGGGGAGCCTTTGAGACTGCCTTCCCCCCCACTTAGTATCGTGCCCTTGAGACCTGTTCAAGCTGTTGCATGTATCAACAGTGTGCTCCTTTTTATGACTGAGTAATATTTCATGGTATGCACGTACCACACCAGGTTTAGATCGTGTTGAAAGCATCCAACGTGGATGAGACTGTGCTGACAGATGGGGCTGAGGGCAGGAAGGGGCTGTTACGCCAGAGGAGGCGTAAATCCAAACACAAATTCATCAGTGACACTCACAGGCAGAGAAATAACAGAACAAATAACATCTCAGCTCTGATTCTACCACGGATGAGTGAGCGTAAGAGAGGCTGTGATGAATTGGTTCTGCCATAAAAAGGCCCTCGGAGGCTGTCCCCACCGTCACCAGGAGCTACATATTTATGGGCTGAGGGGGTTCAGGAAATATTTATGTAAAAACGGTAGGAGGTCCCTGGTTAAGGAAAGGGCCTTAGTCAGGAGGGAAGTCTCTTCTGCTCAGGGCTGACATCAGCTTTTTTTTCCCCACTGAGCTCACCTAGATCTGCCGATCCACTTTGTGTTTGTAAGACTGAGATGCAAGTCACACACCGCGACATTCACCGCACTTGCTAGACTAGCGATAATCATCATCGTAACAAAAAAGCACAATTGTTGGTGAGGATTTGGAGACACTGGGACCCTCATACCCTGCTGGTGGGGAAAAAAATGCTGTAGGTGCTGTGGAAAACAGCTTGGTGGTCCCTTAAAAGAGCTAAACATAGAATTCCCGTATGACTCAGAAATTCCAGCCTAGGGAGATACCCTGGAAAATTAAAGAACGTACATTCACACAAAAGCCTGTATGGAATGTTCATAGCAGCATTATTCGTAACGGCCCCAAAGTGGACTAAGCTAATGCCTATAAGGGGATGAATGGATCCGTTTCTTATTAAACCTCTGAGGAGCAGAAGACAGCATGTCTTGGGCCTTTTGAGTTTGTCTCTCCTGTGTCTGTGCAGTGTGTGTTAGAGAAATGGGTTCCTGGGAGGCGGGACATCTCACAGGGGCAAGGGGCAGGCCTGACATCACCCGTACTCCTCCTGCTTAGAATCGTCAGAAGCCCCCGGGAGGCTGAGCCCCTCGCTCGTGAACCAAGGCTCCACGGCTGGTGAGTAAGTCGGCGCTCAGAGCTCAGCAGAAAGGAGTGCGAGGACTGGCCTCTCTCTTCTGTCATTTAAGGCTGGAGTCTCCTCAAAACCACCTGCCTCTTCCCAGGAAAGCCCCTGATTTGAGGATGAGGATGGGGTGGAGATGGGCTCCGAGCTTGGGGGCAGAGGAGCTTCTGGGTAATGTGGATGCTTCCATACGGCGGCGCCAAGCCGACCACGGGAGGGCCGTGCCCCTCCCTGCACAGTGCTCGTCTGCCTTGGCTCTGATCCGTGTGCGCAGCCGTGTTCCCAGGGCTTCCATGCACGACCTGGCTGCAGCCCCACTCAGATCGTGGTTGAGCCCCTTACTACTCCATCCAGGGCAATGTGCTTCTCTCCTGCGGCAGCTCTCTTTGCCCCCGCTTTCCCCAGAAAAAGTCTCCATTTCCCTTGGAAAACAGGGAACCTTGATGTATCCCGAGGGTAGGTTGGGCATCTCCACTGTCCCCATGCAACTCTAGCTTTCCTTAGGCTTTCTAAGACCCTCATGAGATTTTCCCCCACCCTCTTTATAAGACCCTTCTGGGGTCCCCGTCACCCTCAGGACAGGTAGGAAAACTGACTCACAGATGCCCCACATCTCATAAGTGACGAGTCTGGGGGTCAAACCTGGACGCCATGACTCTGCAGTTCACAGTCTCCCTGTAGCCCTGGCGCTCTGCCTCCCAGGTGTGCGCGCTCAGGACAGGCGCAGAGACGCGGAGAGGAGAGATGGTCCCAGCCCTTCGCAATTATCCTTTCTGATTCTCAGAATCTTCTAGGAATATCACCGTACTTCCAGAGGCGTCAGACCCTCCAGCTGGTGAGTACGTGTCCGTCTCTGGACCAGCTTCCTCCCCTCCTCCCTGACTTTACCCAAGGCTGGCTGCTTTCCCTACACACAGGAGCTACGGTCCTGGGCTCTTGGGTTCTGGTGTGTAGCGTGTGAAGTGGAGGGGGACTATCAGAATCTGGAGCTCAGAGCTGGGCAAAGATCAGGTGTGAAGGCTGAGATTTTCTAAAGGGTCAGAGAAAGATAAACTTCATCTCTCTCTCCCCCACTTACAACGATCTTCTCTTCCACAATTAGCCAAATACCCAGGTAGTGTCTGTGTGTGGGGCGGGGTTGTGTCAGGGGCCTGAGAAGGGGTGTGTGGAAGAGGTGGTGTTTAGAGAACGGGGTTTATCTGGTCCTGACCTTTGAGAGGAGGAGAGGACCCCTCTGGCATCCTGGCTGGCAGGGGGTAACAGGTTCCCACGTGGGGGCTGTGGCTTAGAGTGGGTCCTTCCGTCACCCGCTTCTGTCTGTCTTCGTTCCTCCAGGTCCCGCCCTCCAGCGCTACACTGAGGGCAATCTGGTCCGGATCTGCCTCGGGGGTGTGGTTCTAATATTCCTGGTGGGGATTCTGGCAGAAGATTGGCACAGCCGAAGGAAACCCCTGAGGCGCCGGGTCAGAGCGGCCCACAGGCCCCTCCCACCCCTCCCACCCCTCCCACCCCGCCCGCAGACCTAGGAACTACACAGCGGTCAGGACAGGGGTCGACCGGATGGTCATAACCACGGATAGCATCATTAGAATCCCAAGGTTTGCTTGCATCTAAGAGACAGGTCGTGGGAGTGGGGAGGGGACGTAGAGTGTGTGGAGCGTGAGGGCAGAAGAACAGAGGCTACAAGCTGTGGAAGTGGAGGCTCTTCTTGGCGCCCCAGCAGGAGTTGTTGAGCCTCTGTCTGACTCTCTGTCCTAGGACCCCCTGTTTGGGATGGAAGGAATCTAGTGGATGCCAAAGGCTCCTCACTGACATCTTGCTCATTGTGAGCCGTGTGGCATCCTAACTGGATCATCATACTTACCTCTCTCTCCAACCTTCTCTACCATGGGTTCCAGATCAGCCTCTAATATTCCCAGCTCTCACAGCTGACCTGTTCTGTCCCCTGCACAAAACTCTCCCACATCCCATTTGCCCCCTGTTTTTTTCTTTTCCTGGTTATCCCCAAACCTAACTTTCACTCAAGACCTATCTTAAGCTGCAGTTGGAAAAATGGCCTTTTGTTCCTTGAGATGGACCTGGTTTCTTTCAAGCTTTTGGGTGTTCTATTCATTTCCTCTACAATAGAATAATAATTCTAACTAACGTCGCAATGACTTATCTTTATGTTCGAAAAAAGTCCAAAGTCCTAAGCTTGTCCTAAAGGCCAGAATAGGTAAAGCCATAGAGACAGAAAAAAAACTGGTGGTTGGCAGGGTTTGAGGGGAGGAAGGAATAGGGAGTAATGACTTAATTAGTATAGTTTTTTAAAAAAAATTGTAGTGATGAAAATGTTTTGAAACTAGATAAAGGTGGTGGTTTCACAACAAGGTAACTGTACTAAATGCCACTGAACTATTCACTTTAAAATAGTTACAGCGAGGGGAGGGTATAGCTCACATAGCAGAGTGCATGCTTAGCACGCACAAGGTCCTGGGTTCAATCCCCAGTACCTCCTCTAAAAATAAGCAAACCTAATTACCTCCCCCAACCAAAAAATAAAAACAAAAACAGAAGATAATGATCATGAATAAAATTGAAAAAGCTGAGTTTTGATTTTTTAAAAAATAAAATGGTTACATTTTTATGTATTTTAATTTTGTTACATGAAATTGACCTCAATAAAAAAAAGAAACCCCTGCTCCCTGACATCCATACACCTCTGTACGGGTCACTTGTCCTAGGGAATGATGTGAGGTATGTCAGAAATACCTCCCTGCACTGTCGCCGAGCTCCAGCACTCCCCTCCTGCTAAATGGAAGCCTATCTGTTGCTGACACTCTCAGTCTTTAGTGAAATCCAGTCTGGCTCTTCCCTGAATATGACTCTTGTACACACTTGGGGCTTCACTTCCTGTCAAAGTGACCCTGACCTTGGAAAGTAACTTCCCCCAGGGGCCACGATGACGATTGGCCATGAGCTCTTCTAAAGGAAAAGAAATAGGTGTATCTTTAATAGGTTAAACAGGTATCTCCACTTCTCACCACCTGAGGGTGGGGGAGAGGAATCCTACTCCAATATTGAAACCTCGAGGAACTCAATAAAACACACCAAAATGTGGATAATTTGAATACTATATGATCCCACTTATATCAGGAATCTCAAATAGTCAAAATCATAGAAACAGAGTAGAATGGTGGGTACCAGGGGCTAGGAGGAGGGGGAACGGGAAAGATGTTGGTCAAAGGGTACATAGTTTGAACTATGCAAGATGAGTAAGTCCTAGAAATCTGTACAGCATGATTCATATAGCTAACAATATTGTATTATATACTTAAAACTTTACTAAGAGAGTAGATCTTATGTTAAATGTTCATATCACAAAAAGAAGAGAAAAGAAGGAAACTTTAGAGGTGATGGTTATGTTTATGTCATTGCTTATGGTGATGGTTTCACAAGTATATATTTATCTTCAAACTCACCAGAATGTTAACATTATATATGTACAGTTTTTTTTTGTCAGTCACACCTCAATAAAATAGGTTAAAAAAAACCCAAATTAAAGAATAAAGTGGCTCTTTAATCTACCTTGGTCAGTCGCTTTCCACAATAAGCCAGCTGTTCAAACAGTGATTTCATCTCCAAAAATGAAGGAAAAGAGCATGAGAAGAAAGCGGAGAAGAGTGGTAACTGGGGTTCAAAGGACAGGGGCAGGAGAAGTAGACGAGTGTCTGAACTGTGCACAGTTACTTAAAAGTTATATTTGATGTTACAAGTCTGGTAGGAGCGAACGAATAGAAAGGAGGAAGGCAGGTTTGTGTTTCTGCCACCACATCCTGTCTTCTGACTTTAATTCCTGTCATTTTTTAAAAATTAAATTTTTTCACTTCCTGTCTTCTGACTTGACTCCCTGTCTTTTGACTCCACTTCCTGTCTTTTGACTTCACTTCCTGTCTCCTCATTTGACTTTCTTTTGACTCCACTTCCTGTCTTTTGACTCCACTTCCTGTCTTTTGACTCCACTTCTTGTCTTTTGGCTTCCACTTCCTGTTTCCTGACTTGACTTCCTGTCTTTTGACTCCATTTCTGGTCTTTTGGCTTCACTTCCTGTCTTTTGACTCCACTTCCTGTCTTTTGGCTTCACTTCCTGTCTTTTGACTCCACTTCTTGTCTTTTGGCTTCACTTCCTGTTTCCTGACTTGACTTCCTGTC